CAATTGGTGGCTGACTAAATACTTTTTTCCCCACTGTATATAAAGGCTAATTTTTTACTTAATACTTTTCAGGTTCATTTCAGCCTTCCAATGACATGATGCTGAAATTTTATAGCTACTACAAGCAAGCAACACAAGGCCCCTGCAACATTCCCCGTCCAGGATTCTGGGACCCTATTGGCAAAGCCAAATGGTATTGAACCTGCTAAATGTCTAGATTAGTGAATTTATATTAAAAAAAAGTTTTGTTATAAGTTTTAGTAGTTCTTAAAGGTGAAGTGTATTTTTTCCCCCACTATTAAAATAGTCTCTCATATCCCAGTTTAATAAAAGCTGTTGATATTCTAAAGAGTGCAAACAGTGCGAGCATTTTCAAAACATTGCTCTGTTTGCACTCTCATGTTAGATTATGGCTCAACCAATGGTGTGAGTTTGGGGATGGACTACCCCTGTCTGCCATTGGCTGAACAAGTAGTGTTGAAAACTCTCAATATTTTTGCAGTACCATTTCTTGATGCAAAATGACAGACTTCCCCTTTAAATGAGTTTACACCATTTAGACCAGTGTCTGTAACCTAGTGAAAATGAACTGTTGAGTTCACTGAGATAACAGATAAGTATCACATCAGGTTTGTATTATTAGTAACTAGTGCCACAGAAAGTTCTGCATTTGTACTTCTGCCAAAATCTATTTTAAAATCCTTGTTGAAAGCCTTTAATGTAACCGTGAATCAGAGGAGTAAGAAAAACAGTTTTCCACACAGACCGTTTTACTGTGCTTCATGCTATTTTTGAGAGCATCTGAGAGTTGTTTTGAAATGTGCAAACTGCTGCTAGAGTTTCAGTTGATGGTGTTGACAAGCTTATGAGAGCAAAGTTCTCACTGACCCGTCCTGCTGCTTGTGTTTAGGGAGGCGTGGAATTCTCTTGGGGAAATGCCGAAGGAGGAGGCGATGGTGGCCTATGTGGAAGATTTGAAACTGGTATAATGTTTTGGATTTTTTTTAGCAGTTTCAAAACGTGGTATGATTTAATGTAATGTGTTGTGTAAATTTGTTTTAAATTTGCTGAATAGATTCTGGAAAGTATGCCTGTAACAAATGAGGTCGAGGAGCTTCTGCAGGTCATTGGACCGTTCTATGAGCTCATTGATGAAAAGAAGAAGATATTGCAAGTGTCAGATTTGAGCGCAGGTAAACTGAACAACAGTGCCCTCTTGGGTGAATTTTACAA